GACCGTTTGACACCTTTACCCTTGCCCCGTTTACTACCATTTTTTTATTATTTTAAGTTTTTGATAATTCATTTTATTGTCCCCATTTATTAAAGTGACATAATAATATATATTTTTAATTTTTTTATTTTTAAAAGTTAAATTATTCAAATATATTTGGTAAATTAAAACTTTTATTGTTTGTCATATTTTTAGATAATTTTAGTTGTCATTTTTATTATAACTAATGCAATTTTGTAAAATTTTCCATTTAAAGTATTGTATTCTAAAACATAAAAAAATTAAATTAGATAATTTTAGTTGTCATTTTTTATTAGAACTAATGAAATTTTTCATTTAAAATATTGAATTCAAAAAAAAAAAATATTTAACGGGACGGGGTACCTATTACCCGTACCCGCCCGACCCGATTAAGAGGGTATTCCCCTCCTCATTCAGGGAGTGACCCTACTGATATTGGATTTGTCGAGTTTTTTTACCATCTCTGCGTCTTCTTCTCCATCCCCACCTAACAATACCGAGAAGTCAGATCCAACCACCAAAGCCAATTCCAAAACAAAAAGGCAAAAGATTGAATAGCTATAAAACAAGATTAACATGCTCCAGATTGAATAGCTCGTCACCAATTCGATAGCTATAATTTTTGTAGCTTTACAGTATGGAGATTGATACAACTTCAATTTCAATTTTGTGCTGCCATTCCAATAACTTTAAAATAAATATTAACGCATTCTTTTTTGTTAAATAATTTCTTTTAGGTGTCATCCATGGATGATTGCTCTGACTGAAATGTTAATAATTACCTCTAGCTGGCTGATTTTGCATTCCGTTTTAGTTCCTTCAGCAGTTGTGGCACTAATCTGTTCGTGGTGGTACATCTTTCTTTACTCTTACCCAAAGGTACTTTGGAATCGTGGGTATCACATATAATAAATTTGGGTATAATTTATAAAAATTAAAAGTTTGAGTACTACAATTACAATTATTCCTTTTCATTTTTTTATTGTTTTTAACGATTAAATTAACGGATCTTGACAACATGGAGTATTTCGAACAAAATGTTTTAAATGGGGGGTTTCTTCGATTTTCAGTACATATAGTGTATATAAAACATCGGCAAGTTTTTTTTAGCTTACTTGGTTTATGGGGATTTCAGTTGCATTTTTTTGCTTCAATATTATAGTTCTTGATGGTATTTTCTTGGGAAAATTAAATTGTCAAGCATTGATACCTCTTGTACCAATTTAATGGGGCATTTACTCGTGCTAAGCTATGTCAGTAATTCACACCACACCACACTGTAGTCATTGCATAATCAACATAATTTCTTCGTATTATCTAGTTTACCTATATATGTAACATAGGAATACACATGAAAAAACTAGACGGCAAAGACTACAGTTTGTATGTTCCACGACAATATAATATTCAGTTAAAGAAACATTTATTTGGATTCACAATAACGCACATCAAATGTTATTAATCAGGTTTCACGTCTATTTTTCAAGCATAAACCGAAATGCAACACATGTCACAAGTCACACATTATACATAGCTTTTGTGAAAAGTAATACAAAGATAAAATGGACATGTTGTCAGATGTCACCAAATTACATGAACAAGTTCTTCTGCGATACATAATTCATGAAAGTTACAATCTATATACCGAGTACGCACCAATTGCGACACAGGTCACAAATACGCATCACAAAGTCAGTAGCTACTTCTATAACATTCGCGTAATGTACATGATTTTTAATCGATAGAAATACACAGAAAAATGGTCAAGGAGTCAGATGTATGTTAAACAAATATACCCCCAAAAAACAAAAAGGTTGAAATGGGATAACACTGAACAAGTCGAGGCACTTCAAATATTGATTTAATTAATTTGCACCAAAACAGGAAAAAAAAAATTAGGACTGAAAATAAAAACCAAAGAATTCCATTTTTTTAAAATTTAACTAGCCTGTAATAATGAATTAATCAGAATTTATTATTGTCGACGGTTCAACATAACTTTGGGCGAATTACGATTATCTAACCATATTATTAAAATTTTAAATATCACAATAATAGTAAATTCAAATAGTGAATCCGAGATATAAGGTGGTAAACAACAGGTAAAATGATTTACTATAGAAGAATGATACAATAGTCTCACGTTTTAGGTGTTACGATGATTTCTAAACTCAATCAGGAAACCCTAATTGTAGAACCAAAAATAATGCATAACAAACATCAAAAGCAATCAAAACTTTTCCATATGTTAGCAATTTTGATTTGTTGAGGAGTGGAACCAAGTACGCAACCTTGCTTCTTTACCACTCTTACGATTGAACTCAAATTCCTCCACAAAATGAAATAATAATCAGTGTTCTTATTTTCATGTTGAAATGCAATTTCTATTCATGAATCCCTTCAAATTATATATATATATATATATACTTATCATAATATTTCTTGAAGAAGACTTTGAATGGATGCCTCAGATTTTCATTTCTTCAAGAAGTTCTTGAATAGATCTGTGCAAACTTCCTCGTCTGTATGGCGCCTCTCTTTCATTACTCAATCCATACTTTAACCAATGAAGTCTGTCATCGTTTCTGAATTTGAGCATACTTGATTTCCAGCGGCACACACCAGAATTATCATGAAAATAGTTTCCACATTTGTAACACATATTGAATCTTTTAGCTCTCCTTTTTCTGGCATAAAGGCTTCGACCACAAAAGGGTTTTGGTTGAGCATCAAAAATTTCTTTTGATCTGATAATTTTTGCTTTTGTAAAAATTAACTTTTTGATATCAAAAGGTAAGCTTGTTGCTACCTTGTTGATACAACACATGAAGGTAATAACTCTACCATCAGTTTGAGTTATCTTCTTTTGAGTAGATCTAGCAGAGCTGGATGAATTAGAGCTAGCAAAGCTAAGCTCCATACTTTGAAGAAGTTTGAGGAAAGGAAGAAGGTGTTCTCACTTTCACTCCGAATTTCTCTCTTTGATGTAAGAAACTCTTTAATCACAAAATCTTTATCCACCAATGAATTAATGTGCCAATTCATCGATGCTTAGGATAAGATGAGCACCGGTGCTCATTAGATCATTTCTGTATATATATATATATATTTCAATAATTCAAGAAAACTTTCATGCCTCGGCAGCCGTTTCTCTTTAGGCAGAATTTTCTTGCAATGAAGGTTGGTGAAAATTACGACGCGTAGATGCCCTAGATTATATATGGCCCTTTTTCCTTCTTAATAGACAAGTAAATTTCTTTTAATTTGTTATCTATGCACAAGAATCTCCATGAAAATTATTGGTTTTCTATAATTATCAAAAGAATCTCAAGTACTATATAATCAAACCTTTAATATATGGAAATAAGGAAAGTATAAAAGAATCGATTATAATGCAATAAAAATAATGTTCCTCATACCATAAGTGAAATTCACATTTTATGGTATTTCCATGGAAAGTTAACAAACGGAGAATGCACATAAATGAATTAGGCCCCGTTTCCATTTTCCAACTTGTATAGTGTTTGATAAGAAAAAAATTTCTCGGAATTCGTTTTCCACCTCCTACTCTCACGCGCCTGTTTTCTTGGTTTTCAAGGAATTCATTTTCTTTTGATTTTGGTGGTAATTGATTTTCCAGCTTTTTTTTTTTTTTTTGGTAATTAAAAAATATTCTAAACACAATGGTAAAAAAAATTATCACATTTATTGACAATTTTCATGCAAAACAAAACCAAACGAATGATATTCGGTATGGTAATTTTTTTTCATTTTTTTTTTTTTTGGCAATTGAAACAAATTTTAGACCTAATGGTTCAAGAAATTATCACTTTAATGGACAATTTTCATGAAAAACAAAAGCCAAACGGACACCAAATTTTCAACATTTTTCAGGTGGAAAATTATACCAATCAAACACAACTAATTACAATTCTCAATAAAAACAAATTTTAGACAATTCAATTCCCTGTAATTCATTTTCTTTCCACCTAAATTCCACATTTGCAATCAAACAGACCCATTGTAAATTTGCTACCAATGCATGAGCATTTTATTAATTTTTTCTTTCTTTTAAAAAAAATAATTGCCATTTTTTTCTTACAAAACCTGTCAACTAAGTTTTTAATTTATTTTAGTTATGATCCCGTAATTAGATGTGTCAATCCGGGTGGTCCGGGCCGGGTCGGCCCGCCAACATGTGAGCCCGGTAACGGCCCGCGTGAAAAAAGCCCGCCCGCTGCGGGTTCCGGGCCGGTTACGGGTCGGCCCACAATTTTGGACTACAACCCAGGCCCACCC